CCCCTTGAAGCTGTGGTGTGGGCGACTGTCGGAGACCGGGCATAATGGCCCATGGTCTGACCCAGTGTGGCCGCTCTTGTGATCTGATGTGGCACTGAAGCCTTGTATGTGATTCCCAGCTTCACTCCAGTGCCTCTTTAGAGCCCAGTCTCCTGCGTGCTGTGCGCCAGCACAGTCGCCGACTGCGGGTGTATTTGTTAGCAGTTCAGCCCCTTGATGCCTGATCTCCCCTGTCTGCTGCAACCCCCCTTGCTCCTGTGGGGCAGGACCCTCCTTCGTCTCCATAGACATTTGCCCTCTGTTCTTCCTCCTCCTCCTCCTTGCTGCTGTTTCCTCCTGTCTCTTCCTGCTCCTCACACTGGCTCCTTTGTTCTTCCGCCTTTGTCTGGTGCTTCACCCAATCCTGCTTCCTTGGCTTCCCCCCGTGACCCTGAGCCCCTCCCTCGTCTGTGGCAGCCAGTTGGCCCCCAATAGCCCACCTGTGCCCCCAGCTCGATGGATTGGCCCGGGGAGGCGAGCTTTCCCTGGGCACCGCTAACGCCCTGTCTCCCTTCTTTGCAGATGACCGCCCAAAGCCTGTCCCGGTTGTAAGTAAACCTGTCTCCCTAGAGCCAAGTAAATCAGCGTCCCCGTCTCCCCCGCCTCCCCTGATCGCCGAGGTAGAGCCTGTGCTGCTGGCCCCGGTGCCGCTGGTGCCGCTGGAGAGCCCAGTGGACGTGGACACTAAAGCGGAGCTGGCTGAGGCTCCTGCAGACACTCACGAACCTCTTAAAGCCACCACTACAGTGCCAGGGGGCATGGAGCAGCCCGAGGAAGCCCCTGCCTTGGACACAGAGCCCCAGGAGGAGGCAGCTGCCACCCCTGTCCTGGAACCCCCTGCCCAACCGGTGCTGGTAGAAACACAAGAGGAGGTGGCACCAATGGAGGAGGTGGCACCCGTGGAGGTGGCACCCCCGGAGGAGGTGCCCCTGGAGGAGGAGCTGCCAGCCAAGCCTGCTGCTCCCCCCAGCCCCCCGCCCCCCCAGGAAGAGGCCTCCAGCGAGGCTGTTGTTGAATCCAATGGAGTCTTGGAGGAAACGCCAGAGCCAGTGGCCGAGCCACCTGTGCGCCAGCCAGAGCCAGTCGTGGAGTCTCCTGTTGCCCAGCCAGAGGAGCTGGCGCTGCCCAACGGGCTGGAGGTACCTGGCAAGCAGGAGGCCGACGAGCCGGTGGAGCAGCCGGAGTCGGACGTCAGCCCCATCTCGGAACCCGAGGAGGTTAAGGCAGAGGAGCCGGCCCTCCCAGCCTCCCCCCCTGCAGAGGAGGAGGAGGAGGAGGAACAGGAGGAAGAAGAGGAGTGCGAGGGGCTCCTAGAAGCACCAGAGCAGAATTCCCCGTTGGAAGCGCCTCTTTCCCAGAGCTCCGAGGAGATCATGCAAGGTGTGGGGGCTGGGGGGGAGAGGCACCCCTGGGCTAAGGATGGGGGGCTCCTGGAGCGGGAAGCTCCATCGTAGCAGGGGACTCTCTCCCTGTACTGCAGGGGGGCGGGGCTCAAAATGTGGTTTGTTTGTTTTTTTCGTTGGAGGGGTGGCCGGGGCACGTATCTCTCTACCCCTTGCGGGGCCAGGGTCTCACTTGCCCACCTCTCCCCTCCAGTCGCCGTGTCGGTGCCAAAGAAAAAGCGGAAAATGAAGGAGCTCAACAAGAAGGAAGCCGTGGGCGACCTGCTGGATGCCTTTAAAGAGGTGGGTGTGTGGTCTTCTGAGCCAGCGTGGGCGCCGCGTTCCCACCCCCGCACCGCCCAGGGCTGCTGCCTCTCGTGATGAGCTCCTGTTAGTGCCATCGTGTCTGGGCCACTGATGCACCGTGATGGAACTGAGGATCTGAGTTGCAGCAGGGAGTCCGGGTTCCGGGGCTCCCCCCAGCAGGGCCAGGGCTTGAGGGCATGGGGTAGCTGTGTGCCTAGCGCTCCCTCTAACTGGGAGCTCTCTGCACTGGGGGCTGCTATGGGACGGGGAATCCTGGGGGCCCTGAGTACGTTTCCAGGGTCTTGGGAGGGTCTGGCTGGGTTCCTCGCTCACTTCTTGTCTCGCTGGCTCCTTTCATTGGAAGTCTCAGATCAGCGATGGTGCCTCTGAGGTGGAGAACAAGCCCCCAGTCCCTGAGCCCAAGGAGGCCGCCCCAGCCTGCCCCCAGGAGGAGACGGAGGAGACCTGGGAAGAGAAGGAGGACAAGCTGGATCCGGAGAAGCTCAAGGCTGCAGATCAGAAGTACCAGTACAAGGAAGGTGAGCCTTCCTTCAGCCAAAGTAGGTGTCCTGCTCATTGCTTGCTTCTTGCGCTCGGACCGTCCCGGCCTACTGTGATGACATCCGCTATGAGCCATCGTGTCTGGGCCACTGACGCTCTGTGATGGAACTGAGGATCTGAGCAGGCGGGGGTTGCACTGGTGGGGTGCCGGGAGCGCGTGCCGGTCGTCCCGCTGACTTTCACTGCTCTTGGCTTTCACGTCCCCTTGGTCACTGTCCTGGCTGGCCGGCTTCTGCAGAGACTCGACCCCAGCAGGGCCCACTAGCACCTAGCGCAGACTGGAGCTGGGGGGGCAGATCCATTCACAACCTGCTAGTCCAGTGGGCGCTGGAGGACAGTGGGTCTTCGGGCAGGGCAGGAGCTTCAGGCTTAGGCTGCAGGTTGGGTCCTGCAGACGCCGGAACCCCAGGGGTGATTCCAGCCCTGCACGTCGGGGAGCTGGAAGAGCTGCTGGTCCCAGCATGCCCTGTGGCCTGCAGGCTTTGCCCGCTGGCTGCCCCTCTGCGGTATGTGAGGCTGCCCTGTTGTGGAGCCTCCTGATAGGCCGTCACGGCACAAGGATCTGCATCTGCCATGTTGGGTTGATGTGGGCTTGGCTTCCCACATCCCCTTACATCAGGGTGGTGGGCAGAGACTGGCAGTGTCACCACTGAGCCAGGCGTGACCTTTCTCCCACTGCAGGGAGCCCCTGGGGCCAGGCTGGGGCCAGTACCGCTCAGTGCCTGCCGTGTGGGGCTGCTCCTCTCTCCCTGCCTTGCCTGCTGCTTCTCTGCCCCTTCTTCCCGCCTTGCGACGTCCCCCGGGTGTGGGCTGTGGCTGGGAGGGATGTGGTTTTTCAGGGTGGTCTCCTTTCCTCCGCCACAGAACAATGGAAGCCCCTGAACCCAGAGGAGAAGAAGAGATACGACCGGGAATTCCTGCTGGGCTTCCAGTTCATCTTTGCCAGCATGCAGAAACCCGAGGGGCTGCCCCAGATCAGCGATGTGGTGCTGGACAAGGTCAGTGCCACCACCAGACTGGTGAGGACCCTGGATCTACTGGCGTGAGCTTACCACCAGATGGGGGAAATGCCACTAACCGCTCTTAGTTCCATGCTCGGTCTCTCTGTGGACTCTGCTATGGCCAGAACATGAGACCCAAGTAGCTCGGGTGGCGGGATGGGCACTGGGAATGGGCATTGCCATGGCCTGGATCAGATCCCAGTGGAAATAGAGGTGATACCCACTGGGCCAGTAGCTGTTCTGAAGTCATCCGGTGCACTCGGGCACGTGGTGCTGGGCAGCTGAGAAAAGTGCCCAGTCTGGAATGGGCAGAGCCTCACTTGCTGCTTCTGACCCTGCCTGGGGCACTGTACAAACAACAGCAGCTCCTTGGCTGAGACATGCCAGAGGTGCCTTCCCGTGGAGTTGTCCCATCCGTGCCATCTCCCCTTGCTGTGGGAGAAGAGAATGTTGATAAATGCAAAGTAATGCGCGTTGGAAAACAACCCCAACTGTACGTACAAAATGATGGGGTTTAAATTAGCTGTTACCACTCGAGAGAGCGCTCTTGGAGTCATTGTGGAGAGTTCTCTGAAAACATCCAATCAGTTTGCAGCGGCAGGCAAAAAAGTGAACAGAATGTTGGGAATCATTAAGATAGGGATAGATAATAAGACAGAAAATATCCTATTGTCTCTATATAAATCCATGGTACGCCCACATCTTGAATACCGCGTGCAGATGTGGTCGCCCCATCTCTAAAAAGATATATTGGAATTGGAAAAGGTTCAGAAAAGGGCAACAAAAATGATTAGGGGTATGGAACAGCTTCCATGTGAGGAGAGATTAACACGTCTGGGACGGCTCGGAGAAGAAATGACTAAGGGGAGATATGATAGAGGTCTGTAAAATCATGACTGGTGTGGAGAAAGTGTTATTTACTCCTCATAACACAAGAACTAGGGGTCACCAAATGAAGTAAACAGGCAGCAGGTTTAAAACAAAGATAAGGAAGTATTTCTTCACACAACATACAATCAATCTGTGGAACTCTTTGCCAGGGGATGTTGTGAAGGCCAAGACACTAACAGAGTTCAAAAAGAGCTAGATAAGTTCATGGAGGACAGGTCCATCAATGGCTATTAGCCAGGATGGGCAGGAATGGTGTCCCTAGCCTCTGTTTGCCAGAACTGGGAATGGGCGACGGGTGGATCACTTGATGATGACCTGTTCTGTTCATTCCCTCTGGGGCACCTGGCATTGGCCACTGTCGAAAGACAGGATACTGGGCTAGATGGACCTTTGGTCTGATCCAGCCTGGACGTTCTTATGAGAATGTGATCCAGCCATTTTCCTTGCTGCGCTCCCACTGGGCCCTGGTAGAGCTCTATGGCCTGAGCCTTCTGGGTGCCCTGCTCCCCTCCTGGCATTGCCCCCTCTACTGCAGTGACCCTTCTCCACTGGGCAGCCTGAGGATGTAGCTTGCCAATGGGGCCTGGCTCTGCCTTCAGCCCAGCAGACTGGGAATTCTCAGTGGGTTCCCCCCCTCCCCCCCTTCTGACTTGCAGGTGAATAAAACGCCTATGCGACCGCTGGACCCCATCCGCCTAAGCGGGATGAACTGCGGCCCTGACTTCACCCCTTCCTTTGCCAACCTGGGCCGTCCGTCCATGGGCAACCGGGGACCGGTAAGTGCTTCAAAGGTCACCAGCCTCAGCCTCCTTCCTGCTCGCCTGCATGATGATCTCCTGTTTGTGCCATCGTGTCTGGGCCACTGATGCTCTGTGATGGAACCGAGGATCTGAACGGGCCCAGGAGCCTGTGCTGGTGCCATCGGCCCATCTGGCTTGTTCTTACAGTGGGGGGCTCCCCAGCTTGGGAGCTGGATACAGACCCATTGCATGGGGTGCAAAGCCCCGAGTCTGCCTGACAGTGGCATGTGGGGAGATGAGAAGGGAAGTGCTGATGTCTCCTGTTCCTCCTCCTCAGCCCGCAGGGTTGGGCCCACGCCGCTCGCAGCAGAGCCAGAGGAAAGAGCCCCGGAAAATCATTGCCACGGTGTCCCTGAACGAGGACATCAAGCTCAACAAGGCTGAGAAGGCCTGGAAGCCCACCAGCAAGCGGGCTGCCGAGGAGGAGGATCCTGACAACATCAAGACGCAGGTCGGTATGGAGGAGCTGTGGGAAGCGAGGGGGCTTGGGGCGGATGGGGCCGGCTCTCACTCACCGTGTCTGGGGCGTCCCTGCAGGACCTGTTCCGGCGCGTGCGTAGCATCCTGAACAAGCTGACGCCGCAGATGTTCCAGCAGCTGATGAAGCAGGTCACGGAGCTGTCCATTGACACCGAGGAGCGGCTCAAGGGCGTCATTGACCTCATCTTCGAGAAGGCCATCTCCGAGCCAAACTTCTCCGTTGCCTATGCCAACATGTGCCGTTGCCTTATGGGGGTGAGTGCCCTGAGGGCTCAGCTCCTCCGAGCTCTGTGTGCCCTGGCACCTTCCCACCACAGAAATCAGAGCCTCTTAGAGCCTTTGTGGAGCCGGGACCCCCATCTTACAGGTGGGGAAACTGAGGCACCGCGGGGGTCAACAGAGGGATTTATATGAGGTGGCAGAGCTGGGGATGGATGGAAGCCACGAGTCCAGGCTCCCAGCTCTAATGGCTCAGACACTGCACCTTGCGTGGGGTGCAGCTGGCAGCTGTCCCCTTGTTGGGCTGGAGCAGGACTGGCTGCGGGGGGTGAGGGTATAGGGCTGGTTGGCCTGCCTGGTGGGTATTACCCCCCCTCATCTCTGGTCCCGTCCCTCCCTGCAGCTGAAAGTCCCCACGACTGACAAGCCGGCGGTGACCGTGAACTTCCGCAAGCTGCTGCTGAACCGCTGCCAGAAGGAGTTTGAGAAGGACAAGGACGACGACGAGATCTTTGAGAAGAAGCAGAAGGAGATGGACGACGCTGCTGCCGTGAGTGGGGCTGTTCCCAGGGGGCAGGGGGGCGAGGTGTGATCGGGAGCAGCGGGATGCGGCTCTCCGGGCTAAACCCCGCTCTCCTCCCCTCCCCACAGCCGGAGGAGAAGGCTCGCCTGAAGGAGGAGCTGGACGATGCGCGGGACAAGGCCAGGAGACGCTCTCTGGGGAACATCAAGTTCATCGGGGAGCTCTTCAAGCTGAAGATGCTGACGGAGGCCATCATGCATGACTGCGTGGTCAAGCTGCTCAAGAACCATGACGAGGAGTCGCTCGAGTGCCTGTGCCGCCTGCTCACCACCATTGGCAAGGACCTGGACTTCGAGAAAGCCAAGGTAACCTGCCGCCCTCTCCCCCCGGCTTCCCTGCCCCGGGCCTGTCGGTCAGGGTGCCCAGGAGAGCCAGGGAGCACCGGAAAGCAGGGGGTGTGGCAGCAGCTGTCCCTACAGGCTGCTCCACCTTGCTCAATGGCCTAGGACTGTAGGGTACCAGGCGTTGCCCTTCAGAGCCATGCTGGCCCTGGCACCCCATTGCAGGGAGGGTTGTTGATGCTGCCTATGGGGGGCTCTGGAGAGGGGCAGGGAGCGTGTGTGGGGCTGAGCTGTTGGGGCTGGGGAGTCAGTGCCTCCCCCAGGCGACCGGTGCCCCGGGATGCTGCGCTCGCAGCCCTAGCGCAGGGAGCCGTGGGGCCCTGGCACGCTGCCATGCCAGGCGTGGGGAGGGCATGGTGGTGACTGGGGTAACGCTGTCTCCCCTCGTGCAGCCCAGAATGGATCAGTATTTCAACCAGATGGATAAGATCATTAAGGAGAAGAAAACGTCGTCTCGAATTCGCTTCATGCTGCAGGATGTGATTGACCTCAGGCGGGTAAGGTGCCAGCCTTGCCCCTGGATAGGCGGGCATGACCCTCCCGGGTAAGGGACGTGCACACACAGGTAGATGAGTGCCAGCCCCACCCCCATGTCCTCAGGATAGACGGGGGCATGACCCTGCTGGGTTGGGTGAAGTACACATCCCTCCTCCAGCCTTGGGATAGATGGGTGTCAAGCCCACACCCCTCCCCTCCCCTCCCCCTGGATCCATGGGGCCAGCCTTGGCTCTTGAATAGACAGGCATGACCGTGGTGGGTAAGGTGTGTGCCCCGCCCCCTTCCTGGCTGGAGGGCGTCAGCTCAAAGGCTTTGGGATCCACGCCCGTACCGTGACCTCTGCTCCCAGCTAGTGACCCCTGTTGCTGGGGTCCCACGTGGCAAACGCAGCCAGCTGCGCCGCAGCCCCTGCTAGCCTCTGGGCCTTGGCTAGAATCCCTCCAACAGCTGTTTGATGCAGGGAGGCTCCCGATTCTGAACCTCTCTGCACCAAAGGCTGCTGCAAACCCCGAGAGCCAGGCAGAGGGGGGCACGGTGGGGTCTGGCATAGAGCAGCGCTGTGGCCATCAAACCCACAGATCTTCTCTCCCTCCCCCCCACCTCCCCCTGGGTTGGTTGGCATTGTGTAGCCCCCACCCCTCCAGAGATGTGCGGGTGGCATGCCACCTGGTACTGGCCTGGGAAAACAGCAGGAGGCTGTCTGGGCCGGTGATTGGAGCTGGAGAGAGTCCATGAAGGCTGCCCCGCTGCCGGAGGGGGGGGCCGGGAAATCAATGCCTGGCTGCGATGGCAACGGGCTCTGGATTCGAAGGCAGGTAGCTGAGGCAGCGTGTGGGTGGAACCGTGTCTGTGCGGAGTGAGCCCCTGGCGGGGTGCCGGATGCTGGAGAATCCTATGCCAATGTGCCCCATCTGGCCATTCCAGTCCTGCACAGATGGGTAAGGCAGTGCGTAGACAGCCCGATGGATCCTTTCCCCCTCCCGCAGCCACTGTAACCCCCGCTCCCCCTGTGCCCTTTGCAGAATAACTGGGTGCCGCGGCGAGGGGACCAGGGCCCTAAAACCATCGACCAGATCCACAAGGAGGCGGAGATGGAGGAGCATCGGGAGCACATCAAAGTGCAGCAGCTCATGTCAAAGCAGGACAAGAGGAGAGGGCCTCCTGGTTCCTCATCTGGAGGTGAGAGGCCAGTGAGCTTCTTGGAGCACGTTGCTGAGTCCCCATGGCCCTGGCCAGGGGGACAGGCAAACCATGTCGAGTGCTGGGATTGGGGGGCTCTTGACCCTGCTGCTCCCAGGGTCTCAGGCCTGTGACATTTACAGACCAGTTTGAATGGTTCACCCTTTCCACACGCCCACCTGGGGCTCTTGGGGATGGCTGATAGCCCTCGCCCCAGCAGACCCAGAGCGCCCGCCGGGGCAGGGTCCCATGTTCCTGTGGGCAGGAGAACTGTGCAGCTGGGCCTGGGGCTGCCTGCTCCCTCAGGCCCTGGCTCTGCCCTGTGAGCGTGATGTGGGGGGGTCTGTATCTCTCAGTGGTGCTGGGGGTGGCTGGTGACCTTGGCCTGGTCTGTCCCTGTGCCGTACAGGTGGACGAGGGAGCCAGGTTGCAGATGATGGCTGGAACACTGTCCCCATCAGCAAGGGCAACAGGCCTATTGACACCAGCCGGATAACCAAGATCACAAAGGTGAGTGGGGTGGGGATGGGGGTGGGCGTTGGTGGTGTCTGTGGGAAGGGAGCTCTCTTCAGCCACAGAACTGGGCTCCAGTCTCAATTTTCCTTTACATGGTCCTAGTCCTTATGGTCATAAAGCTTTGAAAACGTGCTGGCGTGTAACCAACGTAGATGTCTGCCGACGGCCTGAAACGATAGCTGTGAGACGGATGACCGGCCCTATTCAGCCCAATTGGGTGTTAACTCTGAAACCTAAAGATGGCACACCGAATGCCAACATTCACTGTTTTGCTGGGGATCATCTCAACAGAAAAGTCCAGCTCCTACTTACCCTTCGGTCCAGGCTGCTTCCCCAGGAGCGCTGAGCACATAGTGCCAGTGATAACGAATACTGAGCAGCTGCTGCATTGGCTGGGCTGTTCCCCCTCCTAGCAACCTCCCTAAGTGAAGCTGCTGTGGAATGACGAGAGCAGTGCCAGATCAGAGGCGTTGCTGCAGGATCTAGGGCCAGCTTGATTCGGGGCGCATGGACGCCTGCCCGTAGGCTGCGTGGGTTCTTCAGCATCCAGCTCTGGGTGGATGCTGCGTGTCTGGCAAGGCCTTTCCCGGCTGGGCTCCGAGCCTTGTGCGCTGGCATGTGCCCTCCCCACCGTCTGCCAGCTCCTTTTGGCGGGGGGAAGGCGGGGCGTAGTGCTAGACAAGAAACAACTCGAGCCAGCTCCGTGTCGGTTTCTCTCTGTGCAGCCTGGATCCATCGACTCCAATAATCAGCTATTTGCACCTGGTGGGCGCCTGAGCTGGGGGAAGGGCAGCAGCGGGGGATCTGGTGCCAAGCCTGCTGACTCAGGTACATGAGGAGTGCTCGCCGGCTCTGTGGCGGGGGGAGCCTGGTGCCTGGGTGGTCTGTCTCAGAAATGGGGGGGGGTGTGTGCTGTGCCCACACCCAGTTCTGACTCATCTGTTCTCTGTTCCCAGCTTCTGATGCCACCCGGCCAGCCACTAGCACCTTGAATCGCTTCTCAGCCCTGCAGCAGTCGACCCCCGCGGAGAGCCTGGATTCCCGGCGCGTGGTACAGAGGTGAGTCCCGGGAGCCCGTTTAGCTGTTGGCCGTGCGGCCACCAGGGCCTGGTGAGTGTGTTTTGGGAGATCTCCTGCTATTCCCAGGCACGGGGCTGCGCACGGACCGGGGACAGAGCCCCTAACACACAGCGAGGGCCTGGCAGTCCCAGGCGTGTGAGGGGACGCTGTTGGAGCAGAGCTTTGGAGAGGCCAAGAGCCAGTGGGGCGCTGTTGGCTGACA